ACGGCGGCAGCGAGGTGTCGGTGCGCAGAAACAGTGACGGGTCAGCTGTGGAGGGCGCAAACCCGAGAGCCGCAAGCGTAGTCCTCAGTGTGTCGTGCCACTCACGAGGCGCCTGACGGAGACCGTAGACTGGCCGGCGGAGGCTCCACTGGGTACCAGGAGGGAACGACCCAGTGAAGCCAGGTGGGCGGCGCAGCCAGATCTCCTCGTGCAGGCTGCCTTGCAAGAAAGCTGTGCTGAAGTCAAGAGAGTGAAGCTCGTAGTCACGCTGGGCGGCAACGTGCAGCAGTACCCGAAGAGTGGTCATCTTTGGGGTGGGGGAGAAGGTCTGGAAGAAGTCAACCCCCTCTCGCTGACTGAAGCCTCGAGCAACGTAACGTGCCTTGAAGACAGGCGGAGAACCAGGCGGCCGCTTCACCCTGAAAATCCACATGCCACTGACGATGTTCGCCCCAAGAGGGGGAACCTCGTCGACGTAGGTGCATGTGGACTTCCAGGATGCCATCTCTGCGTCCATGGCTGCCTGCCACTGAGAGGAGTAGGGACCCGCTGTCAGAATGAACGGACTGGAATGATTGAACTAACAGAGAAATCAGTACAAATAGCAAACCCTAGAATTGTGTACCCCATATAGGCTAACCCACTGTAGCCTAACAAACGCAACATATATAATGTTTGACACACCCCCATAGGCAAAGTGGGGGAGACCTAGGGGTCACAAGACCAGTCAAGGCAAAGCAAGGCAACAACAAGCTCAGGGTGGATCTCAAGGATACCACACAAATTCCGAGCACAAGCTAGTGGTCACAAGACCAGTTCACATGCAGGTTTATAACAGAGCATGAGATACAGTGATCACAACCTAGCAAGAGTAAACATGCAGGTATAGATATATATAGTGATCACAGTACAAGCAAAGTCAAGAGGTAAGCAAGTGAGGTCCAGTAGGCACAAGGCCTAGTAGAGTGCAGAAGCGCTGATGGTCACGAGGCTGAAGCGCCTTGGTGAACACATCAGCAGTGTTGGCCTCAGTGGCCACGTAGCGAATACAAAGCTGACCGCGCTGCTGCAGCTCTCGAGCAAGGAAGTACCGCAGGGCGATGTGCTTCGTTATGTGCTCCAGTCTGTGCTCCTCACACAAGGCAATGGCAGCCTTGTTGTCGACGTACAGTACTGGAGGAGAACGAGGCGGCTCTCCGAGGTCAGTCAGCAGGTAGGTCAGCCAGCGTAGCTCCTGGGCAGCCATGGCTGTAGCGTAGATCTCAGCCTCGCAACTGGAGCCGAGAACAGAAGAAGAGCGTGTAGAGCGCCAAGAAACTGAGCCAGAGCCAAGGCTGAAGGTGTAACCCTGAGACATCCACTGAGTGGCCTGGTCGTCTGCCCAAGAAGCGTCTGAGTGCCCTGTGAGCACAACTCGGTCTCGCCCTCCAAGCACAAGCCCCATGCCCGACGTACTGCACAAGTAGCGCAACACCCTCTTAGCAGCATCCATGTGCTCCTTCCTGTGACGGCCAGGAGCGACATAGCGTGCAAGGATGCTAAGAGGGTATGCAAGGTCAGGTCGAGTGCAGGTCATCAGGTACATGAGGCAGCCCACAAGCTCTGGATACGGGCCACTCGGCTCTACGGACTCATCCGAAGGCAGAGCTGAGAGCGAGTGACCGGTAGGCAGAGGAGTGGACTGAGGCGAGGAGTACGTGAAGCCAAAGCGCTGGAGAACCTGCTGCACCATGTGTGACTGAGTCAAGGTGATGGTGCGCCGTGCTTCCGCAAGCCAAGATAGCTTGTCAGCTCACCCAGGTCTGTGCACGTGTGTCTCCTCTGCAGCTCCGACTTCACGTAGGCGAGTCCTGCAGTGTCAGCAGTGGCAAAGACCAAGTCGTCGACGTACACGAGGATGTAGAACGGCGGCAGCGAAGTGTCGGTGCGCAGGAACAGCGACGGGTCAGCTGTAGAAGGCGCGAACCCAAGAGCCGCAAGTGTAGTCCTCAGTGTGTCGTGCCACTCACGCGGAGCCTGGCGGAGACCGTAGACCGGCCGCTGAAGCCTCCACTGGGTACCAGGAGGAAACGACCCAGTGAAGCCAGGTGGGCGGCGCAGCCAGATCTCCTCGTGCAGGCTGCCCTGCAAGAAAGCAGTGCTGAAGTCAAGTGAGTGAAGCTCGTAGTCGCGGTGAGCGGCTATGTGCAGCAGCACCCGAAGAGTAGTCATCTTCGGGGTGGGGGAGAAGGTCTGGAAGAAGTCAACTCCCTCTCGCTGACTGAAGCCTCGAGCCACGTAACGCGCCTTGAAGACAGGCGGAGAACCCGGCGGCCGCTTCACCCTGAAAATCCACATGCCACTGACGATGTTCGCCCCAGGAGGGGGAACCTCGTCGACGTAGGTGCGTGTGGACTTCCAGGAAGCCATCTCGGCGTCCATGGCTGTCTGCCACTGAGAGGAGTAGGGACCCGCCATCGCCTCAGCGTAAGTGCGTGGGGTCGGGATGTCTGGTGCATCCGGGTCTCCCTCAGGGGCAACTAGCAAGGACACGAGACGAGGCAAAGCAGCAGCAAGACACTGGAACTCCTCCTGTCTGTCCTCAAGGACGTCCGTGCCAAGAGCACACGCACCCCCGACGGACGGAGGACAGACAGACTCAGACTCAGCAACAAGGCTAGCAGCGTAGTCTAGACGACAGGCAGCAGCAAAGTCAACCAACTCAGCGACCAGAGCAGACGCAGTCGAGGACTCAAAGGTAGGGTCAGTGACAACAGTAGCGAGGAGACGCGTGACAGTAGGGTGCTCAGCACGGTACCGGTCAGACTCAGGGTCCGGAACGTGAGGCAAAGAAGACGCGGGAGGAGACGGTAGAGGGACACGCTGAGGAGCAGTAGAGGGACGCAGAGTCATGTAGTGAGTGCCTGGGACAGGAGGAGGACGCTCACGACGGACACGACTACCAGTGCGAGCAGGACGAACAGGCGACGCAGGACGAGACTCAGGCTCACGACGCTCTGTAAGACCTCCTCTGGGACCAGTGTAAGGAGAGGGAGCAGGGAGAGGCGAGGTAGGCGGTAACTGTGACTGCGACTGGACAGGCAGAGGACACTCTACGGAGGGAGGAGGACAAGGAGGAGGAGCCTGCCCAAGAACCTGCTGAAGCAGAGGAGACTCCAGCGGCCGGGTCAACAGCACCAGCAGCAGCTCCACCAGCCGGGTCCTCAGCACCAGTAGTAGCTCCAACGCCCGGGTCCTCAGCAGCAGCAGCAGCGCCACCGCTCGGGTCCTCAGGTCCAGCAGCAGCTCCACCGTCCGAGTCCTCAGTACCAGCAGCAGGGCCACCTCCCGGGTCCTCAGCTCCAGCAGCAGCTCCAACGTCCGAGTCCTCAGCACCAGTAGCAGCTCCACCAGGCGGGTCCGCAGCACCAGCAGCAGCTCCAACGTCCGGGTCCTCAGCACCAGCTGCAGCGCCACCCCCAGGGTCCGCAGCACCAGGAGCACCACTCCGAAGACTGCAGCGCCGTGTGTACCACTCGCGGATCTGCTGAATGGGGGGGAGCTCCTGGGTAGGAGGGGAAGTACCGGGACGAGCTCCAGCAGCACCTCTCCGGAGGCGGCAGTACTCGAGGTACCTCTCCTGCAGCTGCTGGGAGGAGAGGGCTCCTCCAGGTGTAGCACGCTCAGGCTCAGCACCCCCAGACGCAGCACCCCCAGACCCAGCACCCCCAGGCTCAGCACCTCCAGGCTCCGCACCTCCAGGCTCCGCACCTCCTGGCTCAGCACCCCCAGGCTCCGCACCCCCAGACTCAGCACTCCCAGGCTCAGCACCCCCAGACGCAGCACCCCCAGGCTCAGCACCCCCAGACGTAGCACCCCCAGGCTCAGCACCCCGAGCAGGACGAGAGTCAACAGCTACCTCGACAGGCTCACCCGGGTCTACCTGGGACACACCTGAGGGAGCGGCACCCTGAGGGGGGAGGGGGTCTGGTACCTCAGCACCTGGAGCGAGGAAGAGAGGCGGGGGGGGGAGCGGGGCAGTGCGGTAGGGGAAGAGGCGGTAGTAGGGGACGGACTCGTCAAAAGTGACGTCCTGAGAGGCCAGGACACGCCGCGAGGTGGGGTGGTAGAACTGCCAACCAGGGGCGTCCGGGACAAAGCCAAGGAAGACGCAGGGGACAGCGCGACGGGAGAGCTTGTCCGCGGACGTGTCGCGGACAAAAGCTCGGGATCCCCAGACCCGAAAACGCGACGCATCGCCAGCCTCTCCCGTCCAACGCAGTGTCGGAGAAGTCTCGGGCAAGGAGACACGGGGCCAGAGGTTGAGCTGATGCGCAGCGTATCGGACTGCAAACGGCCACAGAAAATGGGGGGCAGCCGCATGGCTCAAGGAGGTACGGGCGACCTCCATGACCAGACCAATGCGGCGCTCAGCAACCCCATTCTGCTGTGGAGAGTCCGGAAGCGTGTACGACTGCTCAATGCCTCCCTGCTGACAGAAGGCCTCCAATAGGCCAGAGGAGAACTCCCCACCTCTGTCAGAGTGCAGACGCAGGACAGGGAAGTCGGAGCGGAAACGCTCACGGAGCTGGAGACGAGATCTGCGGATCCAAGGGATCAAGACATCAGGGCGCGCAAGGGGAAGACCGTGGTGTAGCGCGAGAAGTCGTCAACAACAATCAGGAAGTACCTCTCCTGACCCTGACCACGGACGCGGGCTGGGCCCCACACGTCCATGTGGAGCGTCTGCAAGGGAGCAGTCGTCGGGGGAAAGGAGGAGGAGTGAGGAGCGGCGCGCTGCCGTCCCTCGACACAGGGAATACAGGGAGGAGCAGGCGAGACGGGAAGGGGAGGGAGCACCCTGGGAAGACCAGCAACAAGGTCCCGCTTGTGCATGGCCCGAAGGCGCTGCACAGACGGGTGACCAAGGCGGTGGTGCCAAAGGACCGTCTCATGCGCCAGAGAGCGACACGAGCAGGGGGCGGACAGCTGACCTGACGCAGACGCAGACGCAGACGCAGCTACCTGAGGGGACACAGTGGTCAGTGTGTAAAGGTCCGACCCCGGCTCCCGAGTGAAGGTAGCCAGGTGGCGACCCGTCCGAGCACACGTGCAATGTGTCACGCGCTCGTAGGCAGGGGTGAACTGGTGAACACCCCCGTCCTGGAGCGCACTACCTGCCACCAAGTTCGTAGAGAACGAGGGGAGGTAGAGACCTGACAGCGTGCCGGACGGGACCGCCGGACAAGGAAGGACAGTGGAGGAGGTCGCAATGACCGGACCCCCAGAGGGGTCAGCAAGGGAGACAGCAACTGGCCGAGCGAGTGGCTCAAGGACAGTGCGGTCACGAAAGAAGGAGCGAGAAGCACCTGAGTCCAGTGTGAAGGTGTGCAGTGCTGCAGTCGACTCAGTACCAGGGGGCACGGACGCACGAGCACCTAGAGCAGCGGCCTCACCAGGACCTGTGGGAGCAGACGCACTAGCACCTAGAGCGGCAGCCGGACTGGCCTGAATGCCCGGGTCGGGCGGAACACGCAAGTACTGAGCACCCTCTCCACTAATAGACATCGCATACATGGCAGTGAGAATAGCATCAAAGTCTAAAGCCCAAATATCAACACCCCTCTTTTCCAGATCAGCCCAGCGCGGCAGCTCAGTGGCAGCAGGAAACTGAGTGCGCCACGCGTCGTTAAGGCGCGCGAAGCAGCGCTGCGTGGGGTGCGGCCTCCCACACTGCTGGCCGCTGCGGTCACCTGTGCGAATGACGTACGTGCAGGTAACGCTACGCTGCGCATACCACTCACGGGCGGCCTGAAGCGTCGGGGCGGGCTGCTGACTCTGCCCTCCGCCAGCGCCTCCACGACCACCACCCCCACCGCCGCCGCCCCGGCCACCTCCACCCCTGCCGCCGCCACGACCACCTCCGCCTCCGCTGCCGCCTCCACCACCACTCCCACCGCTGCTGTCTCCTCCCCCACTGCCGCCACTAGTCTCCCCAGCCGCGCCTCCACTCCCACCGCCTCCACCCCCACCTCCTCCGCCGCCACCCCCACCCCGGCCGCCCTTGTTCCTGCGGCGCCCGCTCGAAGCAGACGCGGTCCCGACCTTCTCAGCACCAAGAAGGTCGACAGCAGCAGCAGAGGCGACAGAGGGGAGGAGGGGGGAAGGGGAACACCCCTCAAAGAACGGGGTGCGGGGGTCGCCACGAGAGGTGCCTACAGCGACTATGCTCGCCTCGGCTGCAAGCAGTTCCTTCTCGAGGAGGGCAACAGTGAGCTCAGTGGGGGAGCGAGAGAGGAAGTGGTCCCTGACTGCGCGCAGAGAGTCAGGGAGGCGGGTGACGATGTGGTAGAGAGTGATCCAGAGCGGGGGGGGGTTGCTAGTGAGAAACTCGGCAGGCATAGCAGCGCGAAAGCGGGCCTCACTAGTCTTAAGGTGGGTGATGAGGTCTGCGACAGTGTGAAAGGAGGCTAGGTCGGGGAACAGGTAGGGGAGAGTGAGGCGGCCTAACGTGGCAGAAGCGGGTGAGGAGTAGCGGGCAACTACAGCGGTGTAGAGGTCCTTAGCAGTCTTGCACTGCCCGAAGTGCTCGCGCTCGTCTAGCGGCAGGGAGTTGCGAATAGCAAAGCGAGTGTGCGCATCACGGGTCTGCCACTGGGAACGCAGAGTGCTGTTAGCAGTCGAGTCAGGGGCAGTGGCATGGCCTAGGGCGTGGTCGTACAGTGAGATATCTTCCTTGGCTGTGAGCTGTAGGAACAGGTGCAGGTCATCGAGCCAGGTTTCGAACTTCACTGGACGGCCCTCGGCATCGAAAGCTAGAACTGGCGGACTAGCCATAGTGACAGTAGCAGTAGGAATCAGGCCGCTGGAAAGGTGTGCGGAGGGTCAACGGGGCCGGCGGGGCCGCTAGGCAAGGCGCGGGCGGGTCGACTGTCCGTAGTGGCACACGAGCGGTAGTAGTAGGTATAAGGTAAACAGTAGGAACGAGGCCGCTGGGAGACTGTGGGCAGTGTCAACGGGGCCGGCAGCAGCGGCAAACGAGTGGTAGCGTACGGGCGGCAGCAGCAGTGGCGCACGGGCGGCAGCAGCAATGGCGCACGGGCGGCAGCGGCTTTGGCGCACGGGCAGTAGCGGCAGTGAGCGCGGTAATGGCGGCCGCAGTAGCAGCACACGGGCGGCAGCGGCGGTAGCGCACGGGCGGCAGCTGCAGCGGGCGGCGGGAGTAGCGGTAGCGAGCGCACGGGCGGGAGCTGCAGCGGCGGCGGCAGCGGCAGTAACGCACGTGCAGCAGCGGCAGCGGCGCACGGGCGGCAGTGGCGGCGGCACAGCAGCGGCAGCGACAGTGGGCGGTGCGCAAGCAGCAGCGGCAGCAGCGTACGACAGCGGCAGCGGCAGTGGCGTACGGGCGGCTGCGGGTGACGGGCGGGCGGCAGCTGCGGGCCTGCGGGGCCACGGCGGGGTGCGCGCGAGCAGCAGGGGCCGCGCGAAGGGCTGACGGGCCGCGTGCGGGCGACTAGCGGGCCACGCGCGCAACTAGCGGGCCGCGCGCGCAAGAAACAGAACCGCGCGCGCTAAAAAAAAAAGGACCCGCGCGCGGGTAGCTAGCGGGTCGCGCGCGCGCGGTGGGGAAAGGCGCACGAGGGCGCGAGGCCTTAAGGGGCCGTAAGAACCGAGGCGCTCTAAGGCGCAGGTAGGTAGGTAGGTAGGTAGGTAGGTAGGTAGCGGTGGGCCCTAAGAACGGTCCTAGCGAAGGACCTGCTCTGATACCATGTCAGAATGAACGGACTGGAATGATTGAACTAACAGAGAAATCAGTACAAATAGCAAACCCTAGAATTGTGTACCCCTTATAGGCTAACCCACTGTAGCCTAACAAACGCAACATATATAATGTTTGACACCCGCGACCGCCTCAGCGTACGAGCGCGGGGTGGGGATGTCTAGTGCATCCGGGTCTCCCTCAGAGGCAAGCAGCATGGTCACGAGATGAGGCGCAGCGGCTGCAAGACACTCAAGGTCCTCGTGCCTGTCCTCAAGGACGTCCGTGCTAAGAGCACACTCACCCCCGACGGACGGAGGACAGACAGACTCAGACTCAGCGACAAGACTAGCAGCGTAGTCTAGACGACAGGCAGCCGCAAAGTCAACAAGCTCAGCAACCAAAGCAGTCGCAGCAGCAGACTCAAACGAGGGGTCAGTGACAACAGTGGCGAGCAGACGCGTGACAGTAGGGTGCTCAGCACGAAACCGGTCAGACTCAGGGTCCGGAACGTGAGGCAAGGAAGACGCAGGAGGAGACGGCAGAGAAACAGACTGCGGAACAGAGGAAGGACGACGGACGACAAGGTGTGCGGTGGGGACAGGCGGCGAACGCGGACGCGGAACACGACGACCGGTATGACTAGGACGAACAGGCGAGACAAGACGCGACGCAGGCTCACGACGCTCAGCAAGACTACCTGTCTGCTCAGTGTAAGGAGAAGGAGCAGGCAGCGGTGAGCCAGGCTGTAACGGAAGACCAGTAGACGACGGGAGAGTAAGAACCTGACGAAGAACAGAGTCAGGCGGCGGCAGAGACGACGGAGACGGCGGAGCGAAGAGCAGTCGTGGCGGCGCAGCTGCACCAGTACCGGCAGCTCCAGCAGCTCCAGCAGCAGAACCGACACCTCCAGGCCCAGGGTCTCCAACCCCAGTGCCTCCAGCAGCAGCACCCCCAGAACCAGTACCTCCAGTCCCAGGGTCTCCAGCCTCCACGTCTCCAGCAGCAGCACCCCCAGAACCAGCACCTCCAGTCCCAGGGTCTCCAGCCTCCACGTCTCCAGCAGCAGCACCCCCAGAACCAGCACCTCCAGTCCCAGGGTCTCCAGCCTCGGTGTCTCCAGCAGCAGCACCTCCAGACGCAGCACCCTCAGCCCCAGCAGCTCCAGTACCTCCAGTACGAGCACCTCCGGGACCAGCGACTCCAGCACCTCCAGTAGAAACAGTACCAGCACCACTCCTAGCTCTGATACCATGTTAGAATCTAAAAACGGTCCTACGGACCTACTGCTCTGATACCATGTTAGAATCTAGAGACAAGAATGAATGCATTGATCAAGAGTTGGGTACATAAGCTAACCCTAACATTGGGTTGTACCCCATATGGGCTACCCCACTAGCAGCCTACACAAACACAATATGCATAGTTTGACATATATATAATAGCATTGAAGCTGATTGCAGCACACCAACGCTGTCAAACTATATACCGTATCACCCCGGATAAAAGCGCCGTCCTATTAAAAGCGCCGGCGCTTCTATCTGGAGCCATGCGCTTATGGCCGGTCCTCAATTATAAGCGCCCCCCCTAGGAAACCTTTACTTACCGTATTACCCCGGATAAAAGCGCACCTGCGCTTATAATAAAACATGATTTTTCAGGGGGGTGCGCTTATAATTGAGTAAAAAATATAAGCGCATGCGCTTATAAAATAACAAATATACAATTTTAAATTACTAGCACGAAAATGTAGTTCGCGTCATTGCGCACCCAATCGAGTCGATTTGAAACAGGGTTGTGGGTGAAAATCTCTCGCTACTTGGCAAAGAAAGATTCCCTGCCAGCACATACACTCAAATTGGCGCTTCCGCCAGCACATGCTGACTGGACGCGCAGCCTGCAGGGTTTGAATGCGAAGAAACTTTGTTTTTCAAGTCAACAGCTTGCTAGAGCGAGCTTCGTTACAGTATTTTGACAGTTTTCCAATTTTAAAACTAACATGCGCTTATAATGAATCACGTTTTTTTAGGGGGTGCGCTTCTAAATGAGGATCGGCCATAAGCGCATTGCTCCAGATAAAAGCGCATGCGCTTAACATAGGCCTGCGGTTATATCCGGGGCGATACGGTATTATTGTCAGAGGTCCACTGGTGATCCCCGATCGATCCTAGGGAAGGGTTACAGGCACGTCGGCCTGGGGGGTTATGGGCGCACTCACCCGCTACACAAACAAGCCCTTTTATCCCAGTGGTTAGTGGCTGGGATTCTGACATGGTATCAGAGCAAAGGTCTCGGGTTCGAATCCCGGTGTGTGCACCTCGGGCATCCCAGTGCGGGGGGGTGTCAGAGGTCCACTGGTGATCCCCGATCGATCCTAGGGAAGGGTTACAGGCACGTTGGCCTTGGGGGTTATGGGCGCACTCACCCGCTACACAAACAAGCCCTTTTATCCCAGTGGTTAGTGGCTGGGATTCTGACAATTATAAGCGCACGTACATTTTTTATATAAAATTCTGTACAAAACAGTAACAAATTTCATTTTTGCAGCGAGTCAAATCTCATTTTCGCTTCGTTTGACTCGCGAAGACCTAACTGGCTGCGCGTCCAGTCAGGATGTGCTGGCATGCCTGCACAGTGACGCGAATTTGCCTGTGTGCAGGAAGCAGAATCGCTTCCGCGCGATTCTGCTTTGTGACGCTCTATTATTTCGACTCAATTGAAATGGCAACAATGAAAGGTATAGTTTGCTACCCTAAAAGTATAAATTTGTAGTTGTCATTTTATAAGCAGATGCGCTTATGCCCGAAACTCAATTATAAGCGCCTCCCTTAAATTTTTTTATTTTATTATAAGCGCATATGCGCTACTATCCGGGGGGATACGGTATGTGTGTTAGTTCTGTGAAGGCTATAGTGGGTAGCCCATATGGGGTACAACCCAAAGTTAGGGTTAGTACTTGTACCCACCTTTCATTCAATACACACATTCCTGCTTCTAGATTCTAACATGGTTTCATCGCAGTAGGTCCGTAGGACCGTTTTTTTTTTCGGGCCCACCCTTCGCTAGTGACCGTCTGCGGTTACCGTGCTAACCCACGCCCTGTCCTGCGTCGCGCCGCCCGCGCGCGCCCTGCCCTGCCCTGCCTTGCGCTGCGCATCCCCGCGCACGCCCTGCCCTACCCTGCGTCGTGCCGCCACGCGCACGCCCTGCCCTGCGTTGCGCCGCCCCGCGCACGCCCTGCCTTGCCTTGCCGTGCGCCACCCCATAGCCCGTGTGCGGCCCCTGCCCTTGCCGTGCGCCGCCCCAGAGCCCGCGCACCGCCCCTGCCTGCCCGTCGCGCCGCCCCAGAGCCTGCGCGCGGCCCCTGCCCTTGTCGTGCGCCGCCCCAGAGCCCGCGCACGGCCCCTGCCCTTGCCGCGCGCCGCCCCAGAGCCCGCGCGCCGCTCCTGCCTTCCCGTCGCGCCACCCCAGAGCCTGCACGCAGCCCCTGCCCTTGCCGTGCGCCGCCCCAGAGCCCGCGCGCCGCTCCTGCCTGCCCGTCGCGCCGCCCTAAAGCCCGCACGCTGCCCCTGCCTGCCCGTCGCGCCGCCCCAGAGCCTGCGCGCGGCCCCTGCCCTTGCCGTGCGCCGCCCCAGAGCTTGCGCACCGCCCCTGCCTGCCCGTCGCGCCGCCCCAGAGCCTGCGCGCGGCCCCTGCCTGCCCGTCGCGCCGCCCCAGAGCCTGCGCGCGGCCCCTGCCCTTGCCGTGCGCCGCCCCAAAGCCTGCGCGCCGCCCCTGTCGGCCTGCGCGCCGCCCTGTCCGCCCGTGCAGCGCTCTGCTAGCCCGCGCGCCCGGCCCTGCTAGCCCGCGCGCCCGGCCCTGCCTTGCCCTACGCCCGCTCTGCCCTGCCGAGCGCCGTCCCGGATCCTGCGCACCGCTCTGCCAGCCAGCGCGCCGCTCTCCTAGCCCGCGCGCTCGCCTCCTGCCCACCTCCACGACGCCCTCTGCAGCCCGTGCGTCTCCGTTCCTGCCTTGCCCTGCCCTACCTCCTTCCTCTGCCCACTATGGCTTCTCTTAGTGGTAGTGGTGGGAGTCGTGGCGGCGGTGGGGGCAGCGGTGGGAGTGGTGGAGGCGGCCGCAGCGGCAGTCGAGGTGGAGCTGTTCGGTGGGGAGGTTCTGGTGGTGGCCAGCTGCAGCTTCAGCGAGGTCCGCGCATCACCTTCCGCCTCAGCAGCTTCGTGAGTGGTATTTCCAGCGTGGGAAGTCTCCGAGTACTGGTCGCTGCCCGTACGTCATTCGCACAGGTGCTCGGGCCGGGCAGACCTGCGGGACACCTGGCCATTCACAGCCCCGCTGCTTCGCCTATTTGAGTGACGCCAAGAGAGAGGTGTTTGGCGACGAGGCTGAGCCCCCCAGCTGGCTGGAGCTGCTTCGACACAGGGTGGACGTCTTTGCTCTCGACTTGGACGCTATACTTACTGCCATGTATACTCTGACTGTGGGTACTGAGGGTGACTGTTACCTCTGTGTGCCGCCCGACCCTGGCATAGAGGCTGCTACTCTAGGTACTAGTGCGTCTGCTCTCGGTGCTAGTGAGTCTGCTCTCTCTGGTACTGCGCCCTTGCACACCTTCACGCTTCACTCAGGTGCTTCACGCTGTTTCTTTCGCGACAGTACCGCACTCACACCGCTCCCTAGACCGGTTGCTGTCTCCCTGGCTGACCCCTCTGGGGGTCCGGTTCTTGCACGTTCCTCCACCGTGCTCCCGTGTCCGGCGGTTCCGTCCGGCTCGCTGTCAGGTCTCCACCTCCCCTCGTTCTCGACAAACTTGGTAAGTAACACAGCTCTTCAGGATGAGTGGGTTAATACCTTTACCCTTGGAGGCCAGCGTGTGGCGATCTGCACGTGTGCACGGACGGGCCGTCACCTGGCCACGTTTACTCGCCGGCCTGGGTCGAGTCTGTACATACTGACTACTGAGCCTCCCCAGGTTGCTGCGTCTGGTCAGGTGGCTGCGTCAGGTCTGGTAGCCCCCCCCTGCGAGTGTCGTCACCTGTCGCACCAGACTCTCCTTTGGCACCACCGCCTTGGTCACCCCTCCTTGCCACGCCTGCGTGGCATGCACTCTCGCTACCTGGTCTCTGGTCTTCCCAGGTCTCTGCCTTCCCTCCCGCCCTCGCCTGCCCCGCCCTGCATTCCTTGCGTCGAGGGGCGGTAGCGCGCCGCTCCTCACTCCTCCTCGTTTCCCCCGACGACTGCTCCCCTGCAGACTCTCCACCTGGACGTGTGGGGCCCAGCCCGCGTCTAGGGACAGGGCCGCGAGCGGTACTTTCTGCTGGTTGTCGACGACTACTCGCGTTACACCACGGTCTTCCCTTTGCGCAGCAAGGGTGAGGTCCCTGCTGTTTTGATCCCTTGGATCTGCGCTGTTCGTCTCCAGCTCCGCGAGCGGTTCGACACGGACCTTCCCGTCCTGCGTCTGCACTCTGACAGAGGTGGTGAGTTCTCCTCTGACCTCTTGCGGGACTTTTGTCAGGGGGAGGGCATCCTCCAGTCGTTCACGCTTCCGGCCTCTCCGCAGCAGAATGGGGTTGCTGAGCGCCGCATTGGCTTAGTCATGGAGGTCGCTCGTACCTCCATGATCCATGCGGCGGCTCCCCATTTTCTGTGGCCGTTTGCGGTCCGGTACGCTGCGCATCAGCTCAACCTCTGGCCCCGTGTCTCCTTGCCGGAGACCTCGCCCACACTGCGTTGGACGGGGGAGGTTGGCAATGCGTCGCGCTTCCGGGTCTGGGGTTTTCGTGCCTTTGTCCATGATACCACCGTGGATAAGCTCTCCGCTCGCGCCATTCCCTGCGTCTTCCTTGGTTTCCCCCCTAACGCGCCTGGCTGGCAGTTTTACCACCCCACGTCGCGTCGGGTGTTTGCCTCTTAGGACGTCACGTTTGACGAGTCAGTTCCCTTTTGGCTACAGCCTCTTTCCCTACCGCACTGCCCCTCTCCCCCCCCCGCCGCTCTTCCTCGCTCCAGGTTCCCCTCCGGTTGACCCCCCCCCCCCCCCCCCCCCCCCCCCCCCTTCAGGGTCCTGCTCCTTCAGGTGTGTCTTAGGTAGACCCGCCTCCCTTGCCTGAGCCTGTCGAGGTCACTGGTGACTCAGGTGCCGCTGAGGGTGGTGCTGCTCGGGGTGTTGTGCCTGGGGGTGTTGAGCCTGCGAGTGCGGAGCCTGAGCGTGTGGAGCCTGGGGGTGCTGTGCCTGGGGGTGCTGAGCCTACGGGTGCTACTTCTGGGGGTGCTGAGCCTGGTGGTGCTACGTCTACTGGTCCTGGAGGTTCTCCCGGGGCCTCGCCCCAGCAGTCTAGCCGGCGGGAGCCTCTCTCACCACAGCAGCTGCGCGAGTGGTACACTCAGCGCTACTGCCTTCCGCGTGGAGCTGCTGGAGCTGGCACTGCTGGTCCCGGAGGTGCTCGTCCTGGAGGTACTGGAGCTGCCGGAGCTGGTGGTGCTGCTGGTGCTGGAGGTGCTGGTGGTGCTGGCACTGCTAGTCCCGGAGGTGCTCGTCGTGGAGGTACTGGAGCTGCCGGAGCTGGTGGTGCTGCTGGTGCTGGAGGTGCTGGTGGTGCTGGCACTGCTGGTCCCGGAGGTGCTCGTCCTGGAGGTACTGGAGCTGCCGGAGCTGGTGGTGCTGCTGGTGCTGGAGGTGCTGGTGGTGCTGGCACTGCTAGTCCCGGAGGTGCTCGTCCTGGAGGTTTTTTTTTTTTTTTTTTTTTTTTTTTTTTTTTTTTTTTATGCGAGAGAGTACACTAAAAAGATAATCTACAAACACATCATGCAGTCGTAACTGTGTCTGGAGGGAAGAGCCACAGGACCGTGTACTGCGGATTCCCTATAGCGAGCCTAGGGTGGTTGATGAGTCATCCTTGGGTTGTCCTAGATAGAGCTGAAGATGTGCCTCCACGTCAGCGGTATTCCTTTGCTGCATATCCGCTTCATCACAACCGCCTCATCTGCCGCCAGGTGCTTCCATTCATCATCCCAGGCAGCCACGCCGTGTTTCCGTGCCGCCACTTGCTTCGCCAAACAATACACCCTGGCATGCGCGACAAACTTAACCACTGCCAGCCGTATCACTTTCTTTGGTTGGAATTTGATGCCCTGGCGACTTGCGTCGCATCTTGCCAGCCACATCTGGTGTAATGTGGTAGCAATGAACGAGCTTTCCGGAAAACCCGACTTCGTGCTCCTCTGCATGAAGAGCAAGTCCTCCAGCCCTTGCCAGCTCAACTATGGGTTCATCTCCGCCAGCCCTCTCCGCAAAAACCGAACCACCCTTTGAATCACCGGGCAGCCAATCAGGCAATGCTCCGGTGTCTCCTCCGCCTGACAGTGTGGACAGACCACTCTTTTTTTCAAAAAGAAAAGCCGCTCCCCCACTTGCAGATTTCTACAGTGCAGCCTCAACAGAACTTCTCTTGCCCGGGCAGGAGTGGCTAGAGAGTCCCTCTGTTTGATGACTCCCTAGAATCCACTCGATCACCCTCCCATCTCCAATCCACCTCCGCTGCTCCCTCACCGTGCCTGCCGAGCTAACCAGCTCCTTCCTAATCTCTTTCAGTGGCAGCACCACCCCGTCCTTGCCTAGCTTGGACTGCAGCAATTTCGTCCGCGCCTCACCCATTAGCCCCAACACCTTGTCCCCCGCAGCTGCCACCGGCTCCCCGCTTTGCAGCCCGAAGTGGACCGGGTGTTTACCGCTCCCGACTGTGAAATTTCCGTCAGCGCCTTCATGACACAACACCCCCACCACCTTGCCGTTGTCCGTGCCGCTAACTTTCCAGAGCGTAGGGCGTGAAGCACCATTTCTCTGGTGCTGCAGCAGAGGGACTTTAGCCGCGATCTCTCCGCTCGTCAGGGTTTCCAGCAGTAATTCCTTCCATCTGGCTGGCGCCACCCTGAAAGCTTTCAGAGCCAGCTTTGCTGTCTCTGCGCTACCGAGCTCGCTTGTCAGAGTGTCTTCGCCTTTCAGCTTCCGCGAGCCGTCCTCCCGTCGCCAGATCAGGTCGCCCATCGTCAGCCCCAGTAAGCGTAGCGAGCCTTTCTGGTTCCCGAAGGGGCTGCTCCCCCGGAAAGGTATGCGTCTGTTGAAAGCCAGCTGCTCTCGCTCCACCTCCCAGCGATTCTCTGGTTCCGGTGTGACGCAGAAAGGCGATTTCCAAAACGCTCGCACCATATCCTTCCACCGCTTGCTGCCCTTCGTCCAGTGCTTTAGCAGGGAGTGGTGGGCGTAAATCGTGTCCGGGCCCAAGGGCATCGTCGCTGCCTGTTCCGTCAGCCACTTCTTGACTGAGGCTGCCTGCAGCATCATGCGCCCAACATTCTGCACCGCTATGCTGTCGAACCGTTTCTTGGGGCAGATCATTCCCAGCCCCCCCTCCTCCCTTGGTGTGCAGATCAGCTCGTAGTTCCAGAGAATGAAGGCCTTCTCTTCTGTCACCTCGCCTCCCGACACGAAGTTGTGACAGATCCTCTTGATCTTTGTCCATATCTCCGCCGGCGGCGGGTAAATGTAGGCTTGAAACATGAAAATGGGCGAGATATAGCCGTTGATTATCGTGACTCTTGCCGATGTAGTTAGGTGCTGAATCTCCCATTTGGCTAATTCTTTACGTGCCCTGTCTAACACCTTTTCCCAGGACGGGAGTGGATCGCCGTTCGGGGTGATCCAGACACCCAGCAGCCTCTCCGGTGCATCCTTATCAACCCATTTGTACTGCAAGTCCGCCGGCGGGAGTCTCCCTCTGTTTTTCCCGAGCGGGAACACCACCGTTTTGTCCTTGTTAACCTTCAGCCCCGATATCTCCCCAAAATTTTCCAGTGCTTCCGCTGTGGCTGCCAGCTGTTCTTCTCCGTGTAGCAGGAGCGACGTGTCGTCGGCGTAACCCAGATACGCCAGCCTCTCCGCTCCCCCGTCCCCGACACCCAGCCTCCGCTGCTCAAACTCCTGGCAGAGCGGCTCCACCGCGCACAAAAACAGGTATGGTGCCAGCGGGCAGCCTTGCCGAACCCCCCGTTCTACCGCAACTCTGTCGCCTGTCCAACCGTTAATGTGCAGTCTCGTTCCTGCTCCTGTGTGCAGACCCTCTGCCCAAGACACAAAGACCTCCGGAACTCCCATCCCTCGCAACGTGCTGAAGAGGAAGGGCCTCGAGATGGAGTCGAAGGCCTTCTGGAAATCGACCATCAGCAGAAACCAATCCTTCCCACCAGTGGCCCCTGCCTCGATTGCGTCAGCCACCACCGCAACAGCGTCAGCCAGCTTCCGTCCGGGTAAGAAACCCACCTGTTCCTCCGAAATCACCTCGTGCAACACCTTCTTAAACCTTGTCGCCATTACTTTCGCCAGTACTTTGTAGATCGTGCTCAGCAGCGTGATTGGCCTATAGTTACCTAACTCCTCCTTGCTCCCCTTCTTATGCAGCAGGATCGTGACCGCGGTTGAGATATCTCGGGGAAGCTCCGCCGACCGTGTGAAGTCGCCGACGAACTCCATCAGCACTGGGCCGAGCAGATCCCAGTTGTGTTCGAAGAGTTCCTTGGGAAGGCCGTCTTGTCCGGGCGACTTCCCTGGGGCCAGCTCTCGCACCGCCGTCCGAACTTCTTCCTCCGACCATGGCGCACTGAAGGCATTACGGCTGGCTTCACACAGCGTCCGGCTCATGGCTCTCGGCTCCGACCCCCGCGTGCTTGTCTCCACACTCCCGCCAAATGAGTCCCTGAAAAATTCTGTCGCCGCCGCGAGAACCTCCCTTGCGCCCGAATGAGTTTCCCCTTTGGAAGTAACAGCAGACATCTCCGTTTTTGCCTTGCGCACCTTCACCTTCCCAGACAGGAAACCTGTTGTTGCTTCCCCGTCCAGCTCTGCCTTCACTCCAAGCCACTCATGCAGCTTTTCATGGTGACTCCTTTCATACGCGTCAAGCAGCTCCTCTTTTTTGAGCAGAATTACTCCCGTCCGCTTACAATTCGGGTTCTTTGACAGCCGCTGCCTGAAGATCTTTACCTCCCTTTCCAAATGCCTTTTTGTTGCCCCGACCCTCTTCTTTTCTTCCCTTGTGTACGCCCGCAGACTGTCAACGGGAGTTGTATGTTGGCCCCGTCCTCGCTTGGGCGGAGCCGACTTCGTGGTCGGGTGTAGGGTGCAGCCGACCTGCAGCAGTGGGCGAGTTGGTCGACGAGGTTGGTCGACCTGCACGGGGAGCCACTGCATGGGCGCCGACTTCGTGAGGGCGCCAACTTCGGGTGGTCGACCTGGGAAGTCGACCAGACCTTCTGGTCGACCTGGTAAGTCGACCAGCCCTTCTGGTCGACCTGAGGAGTCGACCAGACCTTCTGGTCGACCTGGAGTGACGTCGACTTGGAGCTGGTCGACCAGGGGGTAGTGGTCGACCTGGGGAGGTCGACTGGAGGTGGCCGTCGACTTGGGAGGTCGACCGGCACATACCAGAGGCAGTGGTCGACCTGGGGAGGTCGACCGGAAGTGGTCGTCGACCTGGGTGGTCGACGGGCACGCACAGGAGCCTCTGGTCGACCTGGTTGCTCGGTCGACCAGGTTACCTGGGTGACGAGGTTCTGCGGAGGCATGCGACGTTCGCCCGGGTGGTTTTGGCGAGGACGACCTCGGTGATGGTATCCTGAGGTCGACGTGGTGCATCAGAGGCAGTCGTCAGCACGAAGTTGATGTGGTGTGTGCGCTGTGCAGGTGACGAGGCACTGCACGCCAATCATCTGCGAAGTAGGTGCGCTGCTGTCCTGCGGGAGCAACGTCGGCGCGCCGTCAACCTGCGACGTTGGCACGCCGTCGACCTGCAGTGTTGGCAAGCCGCGACTCTGCACTGCTGGGGCGCGGTCGACCAGGTCGTGCTGGCACGCGGTCGACCGTGCTGCGCTGGCAGTCGTCCTGCTTGCATGCTAGCTCTGATGTAGTCTTGCCTTGCCAACTTCATTGTATCATTGTTGTCAACTTTCTCTAGTGAAACTCTTGCCAATTCTCCCCGTGAACTAGCAAGCAGTGTGTACACTAGGAAAACAATTAAGGACCAACGAACACAGAGATTACACGAGCACCCGTGCCTAGCTCGTAGTCTAGCTCCCGTTGTAGTAGTTATCTCCGCACAGACACGCCGTCAGCCTGGGCAGCATCACACCAAGATCACCATCTGCATCTTTAAGCACCCGTTCCACCCGATTCCTGACCCCTCTCTTCTTTGCCTGAGCAGCCCTAAGCCGCCAGATGCCGGGTCCCCTGTCGACCGCCGCCGATGACTCTAGCACAACCACCACCGCACTCCAGTGGTTTGTCATTCTATTCGTGATATCCGCATGCCGTACCTCCACCAGCTTGCACAGCAGCGGCTGCGTCACCAGCGCGCGGTCAATTCTGGTGCTCACCCCCTTTTATCTCATGTGGAACGTGTACTCCCTCTTTCCAGGGTGCGCATAGCGGAATGCATCGGTGAGCGGGGTGTTCGCCCAGAATCCCATCAGCCTCCGATTTTCTGCCGACGACCTTATTCTAGTCGATTTATCCAGCGCTAGATCCTCCACCACGTTCAAATCACCCATCACTAGGATGTTTGCCAGCTTTGGTAAGGTGCTTAAAAAGGGCCCTAGACAGTCCCTGTAGAAAGGAGCTCTGCTCTCCGGTTGCGCCGGTGAGTACATCGCAACTAGGAGCAGCTCCAGGTCTCCCCAGCGGACCACCACCCCCACCAGCCTCCCTAATGCATGTGTGTATACGTCTGTGAAACTCATCCCAGTCACGAAGCTCACTACCGCTACACCTCCTGCCGACCCGGCTGGCCCCACGGCCACCACCGCAGACGGCTTCAGTTGGGTCCAGAAGTTATGATCAGCTGGAATGCGCGTGTCTGTAAGTACTGCTATATCCGCCTTGTTCCTTAGCCAGTCTTTGCATTTCCCTTGCTTCCCTGCACTACCGAGCCCGTTGATGTTGAGCTCGCAAAACCTGATCGAGTTCTTCTTATTCATTTAAAAACAGGTTAGAAGCCCCTTTGCATCCACGGGCTGGGAAACTGATACGGATCTCCTAATACACGCGTGCCGCTGTCATCAACCGCAACATGAAACTGCACAGCACTGGGACTACTACTACAACGGACACATCCGAAATGATCGATGAGCTACCATCCTTCTCCCCTCCGTGACCCCGCAGATGCGTAGCATTGGGACAACAGCACCCGGCAATCACTTGACAAACTCCTTGCGAAACGCTCCCAAGTTGAGAGCACCCTTGCTGGCGCGGGTAGCAGCACCTGGCTTGGTCAGGTTTGTCTTGTGACGAAGTGAAGCGACGTGAGCAGACGCCTGCTCGAAGCTGGCACCCTGCGCTTTGTCGCATGCAGCGATCACACACACCCAATCTTCCCGCGAGCCCCCCGTGGAGGTGAGAACAATAGCCGGATCCTTGAGGATGTCGTTCGTTAACGCTGTGACTTTCAGCGATGCAGCTGCGAGGAGGGATTTGAGCCGGGTCGTCAGTAAGAGTTGAAGAAAAAGACAGGAGCAGTAAAGGTGAGAAAAGCAAAACACTGATAAGGTCCATTTGCCGATGCTAGACTGGCGCTCCGTAATATAAGCGTTGTGATACTGCGTCTGATGCTGGCCCTTGCAGTATCCGCAGGTGAGTGCCCGGTAATGAACCATCAACTTCCTTCCGGGGCTCGACAGATCAGCAACCGCGTGTCGCCATGGATCATCATCGTTCGCGTGCTCAATCACCAGACCACGAACTTTGTCGGTGTCGATGCCAGTAACAGGATCCTGCACCCTGTGGAAACCCACACCTTTGCTGAACGCAGGCTTCCCCTTCATAAGCAACACGACCTCCGTCAGCATCTTGCAGATCAGCTCTGGAGAGACACTGGCCGGAACAGACTTCAACAGCACTTCCACTGCATCCGGGTTCTGCTGACGCTCCTTCCGATAAGTCGCGTTCTCCGGGTGCTGCCAGTTAAGCGTCAGGGTAACACCCTTCCCCACATCATGCTCGATGGAGCGCCGCCAGACCGAAGCCGCATCGCTCGCATGCTGAAAGGTAACCTGAAGCCGACCATGTCTCTTCTTTGAAAGCCAGACCAGCAGCATCTCCTTGTACTTTGTGGTCGTCTGCGCGTCGGTCGTCAGCGAAGCCTTCCAATGATCCAGGTGCGCCATGACCGTAGGTTTCAGCTTCGGGACCTCGCTCTCCCACTGAATAGGGATCAGGAGCGTAAGCGGGAAGCTGACTTGAGACGCGAGCAGGCTGACCGCCGATGGATCGAAATCATCCTCGTCATCGCTATCCCAGCAATCATCTTCATCCTCATATTTACTGTCAGTCTCTGCCATTGTCGCCGTCGCAGGTGCCATTGTCGCCGGGACGGCGAAACACCAGCCGACGTACTCGCCTGCGGAAGCTGATCCTCATTTTCCTCCTCGTCATCCTTAAGCCCGTTGTCCTTCAGTGCAGACAGACGCTCCTGCAAGGAGATCTTCGCCACATCACCCAATACGTCGGTCACCACCGTCTTGGGAAGAGGTGAGGCTTGCGCTGACACCAGCGGACTCTTCTCAGGGGAGCGCTCCGCGCTGGTCAGAGGAGAGTTACCAGCAGTGTCGCTAACCTTCCCTCCAGTCTTCCCACCACCCCGTCCATTGCGTCGACCTCCAGCCATTGTGCAATGATGAGAAAGGAGGGACAAGCTCGAACTGTAGCTTGATAACAAGCCTCCTCTGAGCACGAATATGAAACAGCTCGTGACAGTACACTTGCTTATGTAGGTAGGAGTTGCTGCATGGCTGTTGTAGAAATTGCCTGTGCCTTTGATAGTTGATCAGATCTCATGGGAAAAAGACGATCCCAATGAACTGGATAACAAAAGGCGCAAATCAGGCGGGTCAGGATCAAGTAGCCAATCTTCGCCTGACTGTGTGAAACTGAGACGCCATGACACTACCAAGAAGCTTGATATGGCCTGAACCTTGATAGTTCCTGCAGCTAGGAAAGAATCACCAATGTTCACTGTTTGAACACAATAAAGTATCCTCTTAAAGCACTAGCCGAGCCGAACACTAAGATCCTAGAAATTGTGCCATCAGGCTGGAGATTGGTAGACATTGGGCTCGTCCTGGAGGTACTGGAGCTGCCGGAGCTGGTGGTGCTGCTGGTGCTGCTGCTGGAGGTACTGGAGCTGGAGGCCCTGGAGCTGGTGCTGTCGACCCTGGAGTTGGAGACCCTGGGGCTGGAGGTGCCAGTTCCGGGGGTGCTACTGCTGGAGGCACTGGAGCTGGAGACTCTGGAGCTGGTGCTGTCGGCTCTAGAGTTGGAGACACCGGAGCTGGAGGTGCCGGTTCTGGGGGTGCTGCTGCTGGAGGCACTGGAGCTGGAGGCCCTGGAGCTGGTGCTGTGGACCCTAAGGATGGAGGTGCCGGTTCTGGAGGTGCTGCTGCTGGTGGCGCTGGAGCTGGAGGTGCTGACGTTGGAGGCACTGGGGCTGGAGGTTCTGGAGCTGCAGGAGACGCTGGAGCAGCTGCTGGTACTCGTGCTGGTGGTACTGCACCGCCGCGACTGTTCTTCGCTCCACCGTCGCCGTCGTCTCTACCACCACCTGTCTCCGTACTTCGCCAGGTTCTTAGCCTCCCGTCTTCTACTGGCCTCCCGTTACAGCCCGGCTCACCACTGCCTGCTCCTTCTCCTTACACTGAGCCCACAGACTCGATTACAGAGCGTCGTGAGCCTGCGTCTCGTCCTGCCTCTCCTGTTCGCACTGTTCGTGGTGCTCGTCGAGTCCC